GTGTAGGTCAGACTCATCTACAGTCCTGCCAAATTTCATGTTAATTGGTGCAGCCGTTTTTGTGCTACGGTTGACCAAAAATCACTGAAATAAATAAATAAATAAAATAAAATAAACAGTACGAAAACAATATGACTCCCATTTACGCTTCGCGTGCGGGGGTCATAATTATCGATATCGACTGGTATGAAACACTTACATTGTAATAACTTTGTAATCTGTACTGCTCAGCCATATTAATCAGTGTTATCGCATGTTTAATGGGAAGCTATTAGAATTTAACTTTTGAAAATTCAAATAATCAGAATTTGCAAGCAAACTGCTTTGAAACTATTCTTTCTAAATTACTGTGTTCTTCCCTCTTTGCACCTCCTTCATATTCAGGTCCAGGCACTTTTCCCCTAAAAAAAAAGGTAACAAAAATGGAAACATTGTTTGGAGACAAAAGAACGATCGCTACGTTTTCAAAGTTTAAGTACCAGGAAATACAAGACACCAAAACGATGACTGCCTCAGTGACAAACTCAGGTCCTTTCGTTTTGAAATGTTTACCCATAAAGTACCACACACAGCTGCTTAGAGCTCTGCTGCTTCTCAGAAATGTGGCTAAATATGACAAAAACTACCCGCTGCCTTTGAACATAATGGGCCATGTGAGCTTGAGTTGTTAAGACACAGATCAGGTCGAATCAAAACACAGCAGTTACATTTCCAAAGAATCAGAGAGAGGACAGAAGAAAAAAAACTACAAACTTGGCCATGAAGGAATGTCATCAGATTTCCATTTATTCAGCAAAGATTTCCAAGGAGAGACACATCCATACTTGGTGTGTGACTCATGTTGTGACTCGCAGAGAAGTTGCGGTGCAGCTTTGTCTTTTAAATGCATCCATAAATGCTCATTTCTGCTGGGGTGGGGGGGTGCCTGACAAGCTGCCTCTGGGCTTCCTCATACTCGTACGTGAATTCTCTGTGGTGCACAGGCTTTGGTCAACATTTTAAACAGCAATAAAAGGAATCAACTCAAAGTTCACTCCTGCTGATCCAAAAAAAAAAAAAGCTTTGAGCCATCCAGTACACAAAATAACGAGTGTGACACCAAAATGCATCTTAAACTTACATTTCTTAAAAGAGTGTAACAAAGTGTTAGCCTTGCTTTGGGAAGGTCAAATGTCACTGAACACTGTCTTTTGTCCTTTTTTATTTCAAGGAAACATTCGAAACGAGCTGAAAGGTGAGCTGCCACCAGAGAAATACAAAAATATTTACATTCATTCCCCTTTTTTAAGATAAAAACCCAGTGACCCATATAACTCATTCGCAAGGGGGACCTGGGGACAGGGTCTGCAGCACCCATCAGAAACTCACAAACCAACAATAATGGCTGGAACTGTTTATGGGTTGAGTATTTGTGAATTTCACATGGCATGGGGGAAAAAGAGAAATAGCTTCTTGTGATTAAAAACAGAGGGGGGAATGGTAAGTATGCTTTTTRTTGTGAGTTACAGATGTTCGAAAATCTGAAAACGTGACAATAAGAATCTTAAATTCTTTTTTTGGATGGCCAAAAGAAAAAAAAACATTTCATAATAATGGTGTGGAGAGGATGGCTATAAGGGGAGAAGAATCATAAATTCTAAGTAATAAATTAATAAAAAATAAAAGTGCTGGATGATAACTCACTCATAATACTAAAAATAATAAATAATACTCACTGATATACTAATGAGTATTATTATTATTATTATTATTATTATTATTATTATTATTATTATTATTATCACTAATACTCACTCATAAATAAAACTAAGTTTTCTATATGGGAATGTTGAAGGAGGAGTTTCATGATGATCAGCTGTTTCTAATATAAATGTAGCTTTAAGCTTATAATTAAATGTGTTGTAACATATAAACAGAAAACAGAACAGGAGAATAAAGTTTGCTATGGGAAGGTAATTAAAAGGCACTTTTGATGCACATTTAAACACATAACATATCGAGGCTTACTGTAAAACATTAAATACATATTTTTATTACTTTGTATGCACTTTTCAACCTGTAAGACCTTTTCCTACTTGCTGTGTATAGCCTGCATGAACTTCTTTTTTGGTGGCGACAACTGCGCTAACTAAAACAACAGAGAAAAGAAAAAAGGGTGGAACTAGCAAGAAAGGAACTTTCATTGTTTCACCACGAACACCATTTAGTCTTCTCGGCAAAGACGACCTAAAAGTACACATAAAATACCCCTGTATGATAAATAACACGATAGCAATCATCTAAACGTGAACTCTCTGTTTTATTTACTTGCGGGAATCGAACTTGCGGTTTTGTTCGGAAAGTTTCGAAAAAGAGGGACGCTTTCCTTACCGCTTCCGAGACCCAACAACCTGTAAATATCTCTGGTGAGTTTCATGAGGGCGACCATCCAGCATTATCGACCCAAATAAAGTCCCAAAAATATGTATTTGACTGATGTTTAGAGTCGGGAGGGTCACGTTTGAAAAATTGGGAGAATCGCTATCTGCGGTGATCTCCTGGTGGTTTGATCCACTTCCTGAGCGTGCGACGCGCACAGGTTCCGCCCTGAGCTGCGTCTTAAAGGCGCAGGACACCAATTATCTACCGACTGTCGGTGTTGTTGTCACAGTAAGTTGTGTTTGGTCTGTTATTTCTTTGTTGTAATTTTCTTGGCAATAAGTAATGTACTGTTGGAAAGCCTATGAATTTCTCTTTTAAACTGTGCCACATTTGCAAGGAACATGCATTTCAGGATGAGCAGTAGAGCTGAGTATGCGGGATGCACAAATTAAAAATTTGCCAAATCTTTTCCACCATTGGCAAAAAGAGAGTTGTAAAGTAACTACACAAATACTTTGTTACTGTACTTAAGTAGAAATTTTGGTTATCTGTACTTTACTTAAGTAATTATTTTTTGAGTACTTTTTACTTTTACTCATTACATTTTTACACAATTATCTTCTACTCCTTACATTTTTTAAAACAGTAAGAAATAGAAAGTTGTTACTCCTATTTTATTCCGGGTTGTTATTACTGTTAAAAAATACTATCCTGACAAATTGTGTCTCCTAGATATAGTGAATTTAGCTGTGTTTGGATGAGAAGTGTAGATATATATACCATTCTGACACCGTATTACGTTGTACACAGTCCATCCCAGCTGCACGCCATTAGAAAAAATATTTTTGGAGAGTTAAATGTCATCTAGGAAAATTTTAACTGCTCATTTTTACTCAATACTTTTACTTTTAATACTGAAGTACAAAATAAATCATTTACTTTAAGACTTTTACTCAAGTAATATTCTTAGAGGAGACTTTAACTTTTACCAAAGTAGTTTTATGATAAGATACTTGTATTTTTACTCAAGTATCACTTTGGGGTACTTTATACAACACTGGGCAAAAAGCTTATTTTTCTGTTAAATGCCACTTGTTTTGAGCTTCTGGTACCCCCAGGTGCTGCCAATCAGGTAAAATGTGTGTAGTATAAGATTTATTGCCAAGGAGTATTGTTACAGCAAAGAATGCAAGATCGACAGTGTCTATATAGTTTTCTTCCCCTCTGCACAAATGTGACCTAAGAATAATGAAATCCATTTTTCTGTGTATTTCAAACTATATACAAATGTCATTTTTTAAATAGAATTTGTTATAATACATATTCCAATAGTTAATAACAAACCTTTCAAGCCAGAATAATGCAACAAATACAACAGTTATAATATAAAGTGTCTTCTGCTGGAATGCAGTCTTCAAACATTCCCCACACCATGACACCACCACCACCAGCCTGAACCGTTGATACAAGGCAGGATGGATCCATGCTTTCATGTTGTTGAYGCCAAATTCTGACCCTACCATCYGGATGTCGCAGCAGAAATCGAGACTCATCAGACCAGGCAACGTTTTTCCAATCTTCTCTTGTCCAATTTCGATGAGCTTGTGCAAATTGTAGCCTCAGTTTCCTGTTCTTAGCTGAAAGGAGTGGCACCCGGTGTGGTCTTCTGCTGCTGAAGCTCATCTGCCTCAAAGTTTGACATGTTGTGCGTTCAGAGATGCTCTTCTGCTTACCTTGGTTGTAACGGGTGGTTATTTGAGTCTCTGTTGCCTTTCTATCAGCTCGAACCAGTCTGCCCATTCTCCTCTGACCTCTGGCATCAACAAGGCATTTCCGCCCACAGGACTGCCGCTCACTGGATGTTTTTTCTTTTTCGGACCATTCTCTGTAAACCCTAGAGATGGTTGTGCRTGAAAATCCCAGTAGATCAGCAGTTTCTGAAATACTCAGACCAGCCCTTCTGGCGCCAACAACCATGCCACGTTCAAAGGCACTCAAATCACCTCTCTTCCCCATACTGATGCTCGGTTTGAACTGCAGGAGATTGTCTTGACCATGTCTACATGCCTAAATGCACTGAGTTGCCGCCATGTGATTGGCTAATTAGAAATTAAGTGTTAACGAGCAGTTGGACAGGTGYACCTAATAAAGTGGCCGGTGAGTGTATACTTTTGTTTGACAATGATGTCTTTCGACTTGCAACACACTGTTAAAATGTTCTTTTGCTTGTGTAAATTATAAAATAAGACAAATACCTTTACATTCCTAAATCTTGATTTCACCATTTAGGAAGGGTAACAATGATGGTGAAACGTTGGCATGTGGTGCAATGGAACAGTTCAAACTTTACATTAACATGGCTAATACATAGAAAACAGACTTTGATTTTTAAATTGGATAAAACAGGTGCTCCTTCACATGTGAGTGTCATGCAATGACATCTGCATAACCTACTTCATTACACTGTAGCACAATAAAGCTGTAAGCAAACAATAACAATATGATTTAAGGGCTGATAATTAGTTGTTTATAGCCGCAGTGCAGTTACTGGATGACTAGAAGACGTTATCATTAAAACCTCACTGTAATAATCGTAAATATATCTGTGGTCTGAAGTAGGGCTGCCACGATTAATCGATTAATCGACGACTAATCGATTATTAAAATAATTGATGACTAATTTAATAATCGATTAATCGTTTTCTTTTTTTTTTTTTGATGTTGTTCTTTACTTTGTTTTTCTCTCCAAACTGCTTTGACACCTTCCACTGCCACATCTACCTTTCTGTCCTTGACACACATGCACAGTAGTGGTAACTGGGGCAGGCCGTGGAGTCACAAGACATTATACAGGCAGGCTCTGGTATCATGGCTACCTGACAACAGAGCTTAAAAGTGTGGGAACTTTTTAAGAAAATGAAAGAGAAACCTGTGTAATATCTGCAGAGCAGAACTTGCCTTCCACAGCAATTATTTTTAGTTAGCATATTGCTAAAATCTAACGATGGTTATACAATAGCAGCTGCATTCTGACGTGATAAGCTGTATGTTTTATGTTCAATTAATGTATGATCCAATTAGTCGACTAATCGAATAAATAATCGGTGATTAATCGATTATTAAAATAATCGTTTGAGGCAGCCCTAGTCTGAAGCAACATTAAACACTCATTTTAATTTTAACTGTGCAAATATTAAAACAAAAATGAAACATAAAAGCATTTCACTTTGCATGATTTAACCAATTAGTTAATGACATTAAGTGTAAGCTAAGTACGCTTGCACTTAACAATACCTTTGTGTTTGCTGCTGGCTCAGTTTGATGACTTCATTTCCACTTGTGAACATTTCACAACATTGGACACTACATTCACTTAATATAAAAACAACTAATCACTGTAGTGATAAAGGCAACTTGGTATAAAAGCAACTGGAGTGAGTGTTTAGATTTATGTCACATTTCTCAGCGACTTTTCAGGTCCGATATGGCCGTGAGAGCTGCGTTCCAGCCGGGGGAACCCATCACACCACCACCTAGAAATCATCGAACACATGAAAAGCACACACTGTTTACTCAGTTTTGTGGTTCTTTCAGACAACCAGAGTAAAGATGTCTCTCGAAAACGCCAAGGATTAAAAACAGCTTCCTAAACTAACCATCCCATCATTAAACATTCAATGAGTCATAGGACATAAGAAACAGCAACCTTTGCATTTCTGGCTGAACTTTAAGCACAAACCTGGATGACAGCCGCTGCCACATAGATAGAGGCCTTTAATTGGTGAGCGGTAGTTTGAAACTGGAGGCAAAGGTCTCGCGAGGTAAAGCTGATCCAGAGACATTGATCCGTGGAAAATATTCTGTGGGAAAAGGCCAAAAATAGTTACTTTTTTCTGTTTTAAAGACATGACTAAATAAAAATGCATTCCTCTAGTAATGGTTGTATTAAAACATGAAAACTACACATATAGCAGAATCCAATTAGGTATTATTGAGCTGATGTGAACTTTGAATCATGTTTAAGTAAAGGTGTCTCTAACCATTGACCTTTTATACAACATGCTCATCATGAAGCAGTCACTGAATAACCAAGCGATGAAAATAACTCCCTCCAACACTGAGGAGCCAACTGCCAAGCATGTCAATATTCAACATGTTTCTGTGCTCAGTGTGTACAGTTTGTACCCCTCCGGTGAGTCCAAAGATCCTCTCCAGGTCTGGGGGACACAGGACGTCTCGGGCCACCACTGACTTTTTAAACCCAGGGGCATATTGTTCCACCCAGTCAAACACTAAAAAGAGACACAATTTTCTTTTAAATTTTCTTACTAAAACAGGTTAATTAATAAAAGACTGTGTCGGACACAGTTCCTCGTTCAGAAACTTTCAACATATTCTGCTGGAAATCCCTTTCACAGCGATGCTGTGTTTTTTGYAACATGAATATTTGTGTTTCTAACCAGTGTCTGCAAAGGCCTCTCGGTCCTGCTCGGTCCACTCCCTGCCTTCAATGAGGTACGGGGTGAACTGGGTGAACAGCGACACAACGTGGCAGCCAGTGGGGGCTAGAGTGGGGTCCAACACAGAGGGGATGGTCATCTCCATCATAGGTCTACGAGATGAGATAACATGGTGGAGATTTAGGAATTGGCGATTTGCTAGAGCACGGATGGGTACTTCTGGTCCTCGAGGGACACCATCCTGCATGTTTTACTTGTTTCTCTGCTCCAACACACCTGATCTGAATGAAAAGGTGATTAGCAGGTAATTCGATCACTGAATCAAGTGTGTTGGACCAGAGAAACAAGTGAAACATGCAGGATAGCKGTCCTCATAAACCAGGAGTGCTTATCCCTGCGCTACAGATTATCCCGATGAACAGCTTAGAACCTGAATGTCACTCTTGTATCTTCTTCAGGGTTAWGAGTATAAGCACTGACCTTGCTGAGGGACGTCCATTCACTGCGTCTTTATATGCAGTTTCTAACACGTCCACACTTTCACAGTTCAGATGGATTGAGCACTGATGGTGGGGTCCGGGTTTGTCATCCGGTGTGGGAGATGCCAAGAAGTTTGGTAACTTGTCTATGGCCACTGATAATATGTGTCCCAACAGACACAACAAAAAATAAWMWWTWTTTTTTACTTTTCACTTATTAAGAAAGTGCTTGTATTTGGTATATTTGGCTGATGACACATAGTAGAGATAAAATGGTATTTTAGCACCATCAAAGTGATTTCCATGATGCATCTCTTAGGTCGAACACTTGCAGGATTTTTAGTCGACTTTCAGATCATCTGCTGCAGATATGTGTAGGTTTTTTTCAACCAATTAAGCCTAAATGGCACTATATGCTGTATCACATATAGGTTAATAGCTGCAGGACAAAGAACAGAACTTACCATTGATCTTTGTCACCGGTGAGGTGTAGTCTATCTGATCCACAGCTTTCATGAATTGTTGAGACAGGGCACCCTGCAAATAAAAAAAAAAAAAACATTCAGATTTCATTAGTCCTGACCAGTCATTTCATGAGTGGATTTACAATGGTACCTGCGGTGTGAGCTTTTTGAAGGTGACATATGGAGTCGCGTTTGATAAGACAACTTCACTGTGAATCTCAGTGCCGTCCTTTAGTGCCACTCCCTTAGCGGCGCCATCTGGACCGACCAGGATTTGCTCTACGTGCTGCCAAAAGTACAACAGAGAAACTTGAGCTTCGCTGCGTTTAACAAATAAGCACAAACCATCATATTATACCTTCTCGGTGAAAATATCTACGCCGTAGGATCGAGCGGCTTTAGCGATAGCCTGAGATACACCCCCCATGCCTCCCTCCACATAACCCCACGCTCCCTTCTCCTTCTCCAGCTCTCCCATCACATGGTGCAAGAGGACATACCTTAAAGGTAAAACATTAGAATCAGGGTTTTTTTAAAGGTCTGCATTTCATTTTACACATACAGTTGTAGTTGCGTTTGCTTGGAACTTTGATGCCTTAAGACTTCTCTCACCCACTGCCAGGATTGTTAGGACTGGTCATGGCTCCAATCACACCATCAGTGGCCAGTGTTGCTTTCAGTGGCTCTGACTCAAACCACAGGTTGAGAATCTTTGATGTGGAACGAGAGTCAATCAGTGTGTGGTTGCAAAGAAAGAAAAAAAATGCAGGATTTTGCCCCAAGCTACAAACAAACCTTCATTATTGGTGCAGATGTGATTTCATAAAAGTCTGGAATATTCTTCCCAAGTTTCAGACCTTTATAAACACAAGCAGACCGCAGCACACAGCCATGTAGTTTTTTTTATAAGCAGTTCATATTTTAAAGCACACAACAAACCACGCACCAAATTTAACAAGAGGCATCAGGGTTGTAGCTGCAGCCAGTCGCTTCCTGAGAGACCCAGCTGTGAGACCAGGAATATCTACAGGCGGAGCGTCCAGGAGAGGGTGGATAGCGTTGGCAAGGGTTTCAAGGTGTGCCACGAATTCTGGATAAGCCTGAAAACATGAATAGTTGAGGATGAGTGTTAAAGGGGCAATATCATGTAAAATCAACTTTTTTGAGTTTTATATGTTATACTCTCATAAAAAACATGCCCAAAGCCTTGCTTTGACTCATTCATGCATGCTTGAGAAATCCTGCAGTGTTTTTAGGAAGCCATGCTGAGGAGCAAAACGACAGGTGGGGACCAGAAACGCTCAAGTAGGGGTCTCTGCGGACGAGTGGGCATGTCACAAGKAAAGGCGATTCTAAAGCGACACACCTGATTTGACGGACTTTATTAAAAGGGACACACCTGACTGGACAAGCAAAAAAGGGGCGATACCGTACGGCACCACCTCATTGGACAAGAACAAAAGGGGCGTTACTGTACGGCACCACCTCATTGGACAAGAACAAAAGGGGCGTTACTGTACGGCACCGCTTTTTCTGGAGAACCCTACTTGGGTCATATTTCTCCTGGTTAACCTTAGTGTTGGGGTCAGTGTCGGGCTGTACAGAGATCAAGCAGGGTTTAAGGATACTGTCATGTAGGCCTCACAGCCCACAGTGTTTTATGCTTTTGACACACCGCACCGAAATGGGCGAGACAGAAGCGAATGTGGTTCTTAAAGAGACAGAGGCCACTTTCAAGGCATTTAGAAGAGGAAGTGAAGAGAAGATAAGTTTATTTTCTATTTAAACATAAAAACAGCATTTTAATAACAGCTAAAGGTGATATAGATACTTTATCATGGTATAGTATTTAAATATATGCCTGAGAAACACATACTATTGGCCCTTTAAAGGAATGCAAAGACTAAAACCAAGACAGCACAGCAGAATAATTATGTCCAGTACTACGTAACGCTGTAAAACTATCCTTAATAACCTCTGCATCCTTTTTGGAGAACTTGACGATCTCGTTCTGGTTGTTGGTCAGATCTGTACCAAGAGTAAGAGACCTTGGTGGAGCCCCTTTAACCCCATCCTCCAACATGGGGGTGAATGAATGAGGGTTCCTCATGTAAACCTTCAGCCCATGTTTCTGAATGCAAAAGAAAAAGGAGAAATTAGTCAAATCACTTTAAGCCACGCAGAAATGAGCAGGTTCATATGGAACATTTTGAAGTAAAATGGCTGTGTACCTTCAGCTCCAGCTCTCTGTATATGTGAGGTCGCAACAAACTGAGCAAGTATGAGCACCTGGAGAAGCGGAAACCTAAATACAGAAATGTTATGTCTAACAAGAAGAAACCTAATGCAGTACGAACAACTAGATGTATAAAAAAATGTGTCAATATTTGTTTGATTTCTACTCCTTAATCTGTTTATTCCACAAATCCAGCTCCTTAGTTGCACATGTGTTTCATAACAGTTCAATCAGACATGAGAGATAATCAGTTTTGTTCATTTGGGGGTTGTTATTTCTGCTGTTCCATGTGGTTTGAATCAGTTCTTGGCTTTAACTTCCTGTCATACCAGGGACTATCTCCTCTGAAACAGCTGCTCCTCCCAGCAGGTGTCTGCGTTCCAACACTGCTGTCTTCACTCCTCCCTTCTGAAGATAGGCAGCCTGCAGATGGAAAATAACGACTGTAAAACTATAAAGTTGGCAGACTGTGCAAAAGGTGGACTAAATAGAAAGTGAACTCACTGCCACCAGTCCATTGTGTCCTGCAATGAAACGTGGAATCTGAGTTAACTTAAAATCATGTATAATGGATTAGAATTAAAATATAAAAAATACTTTTTTCTTTTCTCCCCCTGTGCCCTACTTTCAAATAACTGAGTGCAAGAAGTTCAATTTTTTTTTTTTTTTGAATGAAATGGCTACATCTAACTGCATGTGGAATTTTATCCAAATACACCAACTCTCAGCTTGGTTGTCCCCTAAAGTTTTATTTTACTGCTACAACAGAGGAATAGCAACACTTGCATGTGCACAGATCTCACCTCCGCCGATGATGACCGCGTCATAACGAGATTTAATTGATGTGTGATTGGATCGGAGTCCAGTCCACACCAGAGACGCTGTCCCGCGTCCCCGGTTCGTCCATCTCGCTGCAGCCATGACAGACTGGAATGTGAAGCTTTTCCATGATCCTGCCTCTTTCCCCGTTATCAAGCTCGAGAAAGTAGATCCAGCTCAGCCTCGGTAAAGTAGTTCCGGGGTCGTGAGCCTTGCGCGCCTCAAATTCACCCCATTTTTACCGACCATTAAAATAAAAAAAATGTGTTTACATGTTGTGGCTGCAATTTTTTAATCATATAAATGACTGCTGAAGAACACAAACTTGACAATAAAGTTAATTTTTTTAAATGTTGCGTTTAAAATAAAAAAAATTTAGGAAAGTTTATCAAAAATGTTTTATTTCTTCTTTTTTCTTGTGATATATGCCTATAATCTCATCCCTCAACAATATAATATATATTTTTTTAATCAGGCTCACGCAATTTCTGATAGATTGATCATATTGTAATTTTAAAGTTGTCCACAAGAGGGCAGAATTGAACCATTAAAAACAACTAGTTAATCCGTACTGACCCACAAGTAAATATGGCAGTTACAAAAGCTCCTGACCAGAAGTTGCTACCTTTAGTTAAAGTATTTAACCATTTTAATAGGTCAGTTATACAAGTGCATGATGGTAACATTATCTATCTCATCAAACCAACATGCACTGTATAAAAATACCTTATTTTTGTTTGTTTGGGGTGGGGGGGTGACATTAAATCAAACCAAACAAAGGAAAAAAGGGTGAAGCTTCCAAGCCTAATATCATGCCAGCTGTAAATATACGAGGTTGGCAGCATCATTGYGGGGTTTGCTGCAGGAAGGACTGATGCATCATGAGGAAAGAATAAAAATGGAAATATTTTCTAATCACAACAAAACTGTATATTGTTAAACAGTTCCAAGGCAATCCTTTCACAGTTTGTACGGCTTCAAGTCATCTTAGCGTTCAAGGGCCATTCTTTAAGAACTTTAAGATGAGCTCTTAACACAGAATGGTTTCCTAGTGCTGCTTTTAAAAAATGTCATATAGGTCTAGTGGTTCATTTACCTTGCTTTAATAAGATAAGAGCCCATAAATCATGTTTCAAAGAGTAGAGCTAAAGAAGGGGCTCCTCTTCTGGGACTTAAGGAATGGAGGGTGTTAATTTGTGTAAAAACAACCAAACACAGCAGAACATAAGCAGGTTATCTTCTCATCTTGTCCACATAATGTGGATTTTTCTCTCTGCTTTGCTTAGACAGTGTAAAATAATTCCTGAGGTTTGTATAGATTGTGCACTCTCTTGGTCGGGGTAGTGAAAACGGGCGGGTGTGATGGTGATCTAGAGTTTCCTGCAAGACTTCAAATGCCTCTCCCCTGGCGTATTACAGCAGCATTAGTTTCAGGGATGAGAAATGATCCTGATATGGTGGCTGCCTGGTTTTCCTTAAAGGATGCGTCTGCGGCAACAGCCAATCAACCGTAACTAGATCAGAAGATCGAGGCAGGAGGTTTTGTTCTTGTAAGCAGAAATTAACACTTCATTCCCCTTTGTCGGCAGAAATTTAAAACTGCAGCCCTTGAAGGCTCTCCCAGGCAATAAAGGACAAAAATCCAATTATAGTGGAACGGCTCCGCACCAAAACTCAATTAGCTCTTTTCTGTGAAAGAAAAAAAAAGTTCATGCAGGCAAGAGACTGGTCAAGATGTTATGCATCTTTGCATTTTTATAATGATATTACTGTCTCAGTTCATTAAATGTGTTGCATATGGTCTATTTCTGATTGGTGAGAGGAAATTAGGTCATTGACTGTATAAAAAAGGAGCATCCGTTTCTTGATCTGTTTATGAGGCAGGATCATTTATCCCAAGAGTTGTAAAGACATTTCTTTAGGTTAAATCCAAGATTTTTGAAAATCCAACAAATTCCTAATAGGAATATATTCAGAGGAAGAGCATGTCCAAGGCATTACTTCTAAACTCATGTCTTTGTTGTCTAACAAAATAAGAGATTACTTGAATGCAAGTGACTCTTTGATGGTGCAGGCTTTCCTGTGATGTAATGCAACAATTTAAATAGTATAGAATCTGTCTGGATGATATGTTATGCGTTTATTTTTCCTTAATGTCGCCTGATTCTCATTTTTTGGCCAATTTTAAGGAAAAATATATACAATATAACAATGAACTTTGTCACAAGCACATATCCTAACTGACCAGTAGGTGGCAGTAAGGCGCTAAGTTGTTGTTTGGCGAGCGCTAAAAAAATAAAAGAAGAAGATGGGACTGTTGTGTTGTTGAAAAAGAAAAAAAATCTACGAGGTTCAGAAAGCGGGCGACAGAGCAACGTCTCAGAGGCCGTTTTCAACCCCAATAAGCAATTAATATCCGGGTTTGTACGGTTTTATCCTTCCTAGCATGTGTAGTGACGTAATGTGTTGTTGCAGTTTTCAGGCAAGTGATGGAAGCTTACACGGTAACGCAATTTAGCACGTTCTTTCATTAGCAATAATAGTTTAAAGAGTGTTAGCATCTTGGCTGTAGAGTCAATGGTTTTCACAGTTCAAGAGAGGTTTAAATATCCCGCATTTTATTTAATTTATAGTCCTCTGTTCTGTTCTTTGTGTCAGAAACACTCTGAAGGACAGAGCACAAGGTTATACCTACACAATTACCTATATATAATATAAATGCATCATTGGTTGTAAACTCTTCTCGTGGTTGACACAATCCCCCATCTTTGTGTTTTTTTCCCCTTTTGTTTAGAAGTTTCTGATGTGTGATGATGGCAGCCATTTGAGACATCTTTGTCATTATTGTTTTACACCTAGCACACTGATGGAGAACTGGTGTGGACTGCTGCTCATAGAGCCGTACAGCATAAAAGAAGAAGAGGAAGAGAGGGACCTAGTAGCTTGGACCAGTCCAGAGAACCAGCAACTCGATGTGAATGAAGCGACTGAGATCAAGGAAGAAACCGACATCAAGGAAGAGACTGACATCGAGTTTTCGGTTCCTTTGAAGAGTGAAGACGATGACGAAGAAAAGCCTCTGTCCTCACAGCTTCATCAGCACCAGGTCCAGGACGGAGATCTTCCAACCAGCAGCTCAGCCGATCAGATTGGCGTTGCAGCTAATGAAGAGGGCCCGGAAGAAGCAGAAACTACCGTAAATCCAGATCTAAATACTCACAAAAATTGTGAATCTCAGCAGAAGAACACGTTACAAAAAAAGAAAACATCGAAATCTAAAGGCCCTAACAGAGACAGTTCAATGTCTAAGACCGGACTCGGTGAGGATAATGTAAATAAAAAAAATTGTGACTCTCAGCGGAAGAACTTGTCACAAACAAAGAGAGCCTCAAGCTGTAGCAAAAAGTTGAAGAGGAGCAAAGCTCCCGAGTCAGATGTAAACACAGTCGAGGAGTCTTTGAGCTGCTCTGAGTGTGGTAAGAAGTACGTCAGCGAGCGAACTCTTCAAAAACATGTGTCATGTCACCTCGGAGTGATATCTTCAAGCAGTTTGGTTAACGAGAAAAACTTTAGAGTGAAGAAAACTACAGCGTCAAAAAGCAAAGTCCAGACAGAACCAGAGTTAATGAGATGTGATGACTGCGATCAAACTTTTACCAACAAAAAAGATCTAAAGGCACACATGCGAGTCCACAGAGAAGACAAACCATTTTCTTGTGATACTTGTGAAAAGAAATTCAGCCGTAAGTCACGTTTAAACGCCCACTTGAGAGTCCACACCAACGACAAAACATTTACTTGTGATTTTTGTGAAAAAGCCTTTAAACGTAAGTCACATTTAATCTCCCACTTGAGAGTCCACACAGAAGACAGAACGTTTACTTGTGAGCTTTGTGGGCAAAGCTTAAACTATAAGTCGAGCTTAATCAGCCACATGAGAATCCACACGGGAGAGAAACTGCTTTCTTGCGATGTTTGTGGACAAAAATTTGGTCACCGGACGCATTTAAAGAACCACATGACGATTCACACAGGAGACAAACCGTATATTTGCGATGTTTGTGGACACAGGTTTAGCCAAAAGGCGACTTTAAACTCGCACGTGAAAATGCACACGGGAGAAAAACCGTTCCTCTGCCACTTTTGCGGCAAAAAATTTGGCCACAAGACGAAGTTAAACCGACACGTGAGAACCCACACGGGAGAGAAGCCGTTTCCTTGTGATGTGTGTGGACAGAGATTTAGTCGAAAGGCGCATTTGAACTCGCACATGAGCATCCACACCGGAGACAAACCGTTTTCTTGTGATGTGTGTGGACAAAGATTTAGCCACAGGACAAGCCTAAAATTCCACATGAGAATCCACACAGGAGAAAAACCGTTTCCGTGTGAAATCTGTGGACGAAGATTTGCCCATAGGTCACAATTAAAGTCCCACTCCAGAGTCCATGTAGGAGACAAACCATTTCCTTGTGATCTTTGTGACCAAAAATTTTACCACGTAGCGAGTTTAAACAGACACAAACTAGCCCACACTGAAGACACACCGTTTTCTTGTGATCTTTGTGGACAAAAATTGAGCCAAAAGGGAAGCTTAAACAGACACAAATTACTCCACACAGGAGACAAACTGTTTACCTGTGATACTTGTGAACAAAAATTCAATCAAAAGTCAAATTTGCACACCCACATGAAAACTCATGAAGCCGATGTGTTTCCTGACATGTTAGTTGACCACGAAGCTGAAAGCGAAACATAAAATCGCACGTAAGATTTCACGCAGGAGTGCAACATTTTTCTTGTCATCTTTGTGGATAGGCAGGTCAAACATTAAGGATAGTCACTAGCTTCCACGCTAGAGAGAAAATAACAGCCCTTAAGAGACCCTCATGAGATCACATAGGTGTGTTTCTAAATAGTTTGTGTAGTGTGGACATTTTTGCTCAGTTAACTGTCCACATCTGTACTTTCTTTGTCTTTAATTAGGGCAAGAGCAATCTTTTGAGTGTATTTGAGGTACAAATAGTTTTTACTTTTTAAAAATGTTTTTTCATGTAATTTTTTTACTTCAAAAGTCTAAAAATGTCATGTTTCATCAAAAATGTGTATGACCTAGAATTTCTTGAATTTTGTAGTGTTTTTAATGTTGCAACTAGAAACAAGATTTTAATTCTAAGCATTTTTTATGTTTAATAAAAATCTATGATGAACTTCGTGTGGATGGTCACTTAATGGTGTTAATGTCATTCATGTTAGGCCATGAACATAAAGTTCAAGGATTTTAAGTATTAAGACATATTAAAATGATTTACCGGGTCCAAAAATGTACAAAAACACAACAGACTCAAGCTTTTTTTAAAGTATTTCAATTTAAATCTAACATAAATAAGAAATGCTATTGAAAACATTCTTATGATAACTTCTATCCATGAATTCATAACCTGACTTAAAAATGTTTTGTGCTTTTATTTGCGTTCTTACGATTCTGAACCGGAAACGATCTGAGATTGACGCGCCTTGGTTTTGTTGCCAAATAAACTCTTGTTACCGTATTTATGCCGTAGTTTCAGAGTCTACGGGGATGTACTGTATTTCTTAAATACCAAACATACAATAAGTTTGGCAATTTCGTTTAGCACCAAAGTGTAGTGTCATTTGGCACATTTGCGTCAAAATACGTAGATTTTAAAGCGACAGTTCGTCATTTCTTATCTGGCAACCCTGCGACGGAGTGTCGTTCAGAGGAAAAAGCTGTAGTGGAACAACCTCAAGGGAATGTAAAAGTCAGGGCCTGTAATCGGCCGTGTACTGGAGCTAAAAGTCCTCACATATTACTTTGTTTCTCATGGAAGCAGATGGATTTGTGAGGAAGCGTCGGATGAGAGCGGAGACCACAGGCACTGATCCCGGGGTTGCTGGAGCCTCTGCCGGGGAAGAAGTTCGATGGCTGGGGGGCAGATGGTGGGGAGTTTCGGAAAGTATCGTGGGAAGCCTGACACCTCGGATCGGAGGGGAAAAACAACTGCAGGGTTTTATCTGTAGCGTTCAAGATGAACAAACAGAGGACGATGATGAAGCAGACTATGAAGGTCTGCCCCAGGGAGCTTCTACTAGCACCCACATGTTGGCTGGAGCCGTGGCTGGGATCATGGAGCACTGTCTTATGTTTCCTATCGACTGTGTGAAGGTATAACTACTCACAAACTAACCAACTGACTTACATTTAATGGGTAATTTAATAACTTTAGTGCCTGGTTTCTGCTGTGTTTTGTAATGTAGCTACCATGCATGTTAGCATGTCTCGGTTAGCTTTCCGGCTAAGCTACTACGCTGTAACAGAGCTGACTGCTGTAAGGACAAGGTCAGCAGCTGGCCCAGCAACATAATTCAGCCTTTATTAAAATGTTAGCACTTGATTCAAACTTGTGTGTGAGTAAAGTTAACGTCCTGGGTTATTTAGCAACATTTAAATATGCAAACATGAACACATTATTCAATTAAGCGAGCACACGTAAGTTACGTAAAGTATTTGTGTAATCTACGGTGGCCCTTAAGTACAAAAACAACTTAATTTCACAAAGTTTCACAAAAAGGTTCTGCTTTTTGTTTTACAAAACAAGAAAGCAGAACTTTTAAGCTTTCAAGTTTGTACGTCTCACGTATTTATTGCTTTGCCTTATATGGTGGTCATAAATTACTACTACATCAAAGGGGGAAAACAAACCTCATACGTGACAAACTTTAAGATAACAGTAAAACAACATTTATTACCAAAATAGAAAATGCTACATAAACAACAGATTCCCGTGTAACAGTGGGAAAGAGTTTCAACCAAATCCAAATAGTGTTTGTTTGTAAAAGGAACCTGTGGTTCAAAAGGTTGTTTGTTTGCAACAATGGGTTAAAGTTGTTTCTAGCAGCCTTCACCTTCCTTTCACTATTACCACAAGTCAAACAAATGATCTGTACTGCGATCCTAGACAGTTTGTTCCTGGCAGTCCTTTATTTATTGGACTGTCTGTTGACACATTCCATTAAAGCTGCTTTACAAGACACACCTTATAAAAGGTTTGATGAGTCATGCATATTTTCGAGGATATTTTAAATTCTAATTTTAAAATGCCTGTGTCATCAGATTTTTATGATGAATACAAATGCATTTTAAAAAAAATAACATTTTAAAAAATCATGCCACTGAGTTGTGGAGATATTTGTGCAAAAACAGGAAGTGGGAGACCTGCGTCATTTAAACCGAATATTGCTACAACGCCTAACACGGACCGCAGCGAATAATCTGATGTTTCTTTAGAAGTGAGTGACGAAGAAGAGTCAGAGTTCCAATAATATTGTTTCAATAAACAAAGGTCATTGACCATTATTTAAAGTTCCTCTTTGTCATCACTTCCTGTTTCACTTTGGCTGCGCCAAGTTATGAAACTACCAGTTGTGACAAAATGGATAAAATTAAGTGCCAAGTTGCTTTCTTTCGATTTGTGAATGCATTGTCAATGCATGTCATAGTAACTTAGGTTCCTGAATAATTCCTTTATAAAGTCGATTGTTGTTGTTGTTGTTGTTGTTGTTGTTGTTGTTGTTGTTGTTGTTGTTGTTGTAGTAGTTTTTCAAGAAGACAAAAAAGCCTGCCTGCAACAGTTCCATTCACTTGCTCAACTCTTCCACTTATTCACTTCTTGTGCAACCCGGGACATGAACGATACGTTTACAGAGATTCAGATTTTCCTTGTTCAGTGTTTGACAAACAGCTATGGCAGCTCAGCATCCTTCTTCTTAAGCCATAAGTAGACTGTCAAACATAAAAAAACTTTATTTAGAGACAGTTGCTTGTCCACTTTTAAAATGTCTTTTTCCACCTCATCAAATTTTAAACATCTGAAGATGATGTGTAGTTATGTCATTCAGTTATCATAATATTCATTCAAAAACAGCAGGCTCACAATCTGTAAATTAACATTTTTGAGTGTTTATGATCAGAACTTCCTGTCATTTCCAGTTAAAAAACAAACAAACAAGAAAATGTTTCTTCCACTGAGAAGAGGGCACTGTTTACACTGAGTGCAAAGTCTTTGTTGTTAGACCGATAAGAGAAAAATGCAGGAATCATATACCTAGTGGAAACCATTTGCGTTCATTCGTATCGAGCATTAAAAATAAAATAAAAGTAGCAGACCTAAAGTTCTGCAGCTTAAAATAATTTCATCGTGACTTTCTGTAAGTTCTGTCTTAATGCAGTTTATGCACACCCAGTGGGAGGCTTGGTATTCAGGGATCATGCTGCTGCTGGTTCCTCCGACTCACTCAGATCACTGAATTCGGGCTGCATGACTCGTATTGTTGAAATGCTTCTTTAAAATAGTAAAAGGTGTTTAGATTCATAAGAAACCAATGCAAGTAGTTTTAACACAGCAGATCCAAAATGAGTTGTTCATAAAGCTCTGTCCTGATTAGTTGGTGCGTGTGTGTGTGTGTGTGTGTGTGTGTGTGTGTGTGTGTGTGTGTGTG